TCGCATTGAAAGAAGAGTGAGATGAACATATGAAGAAATATGTTCACATAGATTCATGACTAAAACAGAACTGATGATTCTAAGTCAATTGAATTCAAGCATATTAGTCTAGCGTACCTCTGTTATTGGATCTATCCAATCCCAACAAGTTGATATCAGAACTCATGATTATATGGACCATTGTTGGATACATTTTTTGTTTTGAGGTTTTGTTGCATAGCTTAGGGCAAGTGCAACAAGCTCCCACCCCACCTCCTAAGGCTGAGGTGGCGGTGGGAGCTTGCTGGACTTGCTCCAGCAAGCTCCTAAGGGAGCTCTGAGAGCTTCCGTGGCACAAAGCCTAGGGCTTTGTGCCACGGGCATCCACCCTTTTGCTTTGTGCTAGGGAGCTCCCAAGCTATTAAAAAAAAATTTTAACAAAAAACTCTTTGCTTTTGTACCTTTGCAATAGAAGAGGGGTTTTTTTGATAGGGTTTTTTGATAGAAGAGGGGTTTTTGATATTGTTGAAGCTCCTAACTAGGAGCTTGTTGGAGCTTCATAAAAGAAGAAGTGTCTCTTTAGGCTTAATTTGTTAATTTTTTATTCTAAAATGCTTGAGAGCTCTTGAGAGCTTGCTGACTAGGACTCCCAACTGGGAGCTTTGCTTGAGAGCTCTTGAGAGCTTGCTGACTAGGACTCCCAACTGGGAGCTTGCTGCACTTGCTCTTAGAGCCGAAGGTGGAGTGCACATGAAGTTATACTTGGCTATGCTGCTATTTGATTGATTAAGGCTTCTTTTCGCATACATACTGTCACACTTGCCTTTGGTGTGACCCTATTATCCATTGGTCATTCTCAATAATGGTGCTGGGCTCAAGTTGGATTCGATTGAAATAGAGCTAATGTGAATTTATGTTAAGAACCATTTCGCATCCATTCTGTTAACTGTAGGTATGGTTAGAAAAAGACACCAGGTAGATTTAGACTTAAATGGAGACTTTTGACTCAAATATGGTTGATTATTTTCAGTTCCAAAGTTGATCTACTTAATCCATCTTTGTTAGGAGTAGAGTTTCTTTCAGAAAATCCCATAGAATATGGTGAACTATATCATTCGTGAATATTTAAAAGAGTCCCACTAGGGGCACACCATCAACCACACTCTCAATCACACCCCCACACTCTCTATAGTGCTAGTGGGCCATGCATGATATTTTTAAAAAAAATATCATGCATGGCCCACTAGCACTATAGAGAGTGTGGGGGTGTGGTTGGGAGTGTGGTTGAGGATGTGCCCCTAGCATTATTTTATTTAAAAAGCTAGAAATGATCGAGACACACCCTCTACCACACCTCCAACCACATCATCTCTCTCGCTACAGTGCAGAGCCTATACCATTCATGAATATTTAAAAAGCTAGAAATGATAGGGGCACACCCTCCCACACCTCCAACCACACCATCTCTCTCGCTACAGTGTACTTTGCACTGTAGCGAGAAAGATGGTATGGTTAGAGATGTGGTAGAGGGTGTGCCCCTAATGCCTCTCTTAAAAAGCTAACTTGGGAACTTTTAGCTGTTTGTTTAAGGTACAAACAACCCTACTCCTATAGGATCTGATAAGATTCATAATCCTCATCATTGGGTCTTTGCAATCCCCAATAGAATACATTATTCAAACATGATTTTGTTAACTAAAAACTTCAAATTAAAAATGATTTACTTAAAATTTATTTACAAGCAGTTTTATCCATCACGTCAACATCATTAATCACATCATTACTTGAAAGCTGTTTTGACTTGAACCTTTTTTAATTCTTTAATGGATTCCAAGTTCTCGACTACCAAGTTTCATTTCTTTGGTAGAGAACTCAAGAATGTACTTTCTTTACTTTCTATTTTGCAAATTCTTGTTTAGCAAGAAGAAAGTAAATATGTGCAAATTTTGAGGTGACATCTAACATTTGTGAAAATCTATTTTCCACTATCAATTTTCAATAGAAGCCATACAATACATAAAAAATGAAATAGAAAGTGATAGCTTACCTCTTGACAATATTATCTTCAAATGTCACAAAGAAATGCACTTGTTAGAAGTAAAGTTAATTAATCACAAAAATTTATACTACTTAAAATGACAGAAGCAAAGTCAATTAACTATATAAAGATTTGACAGTTGATTTTGGGCATTTATAATTAAATATTGAGTTATCCAACCATAAGGACATAGCTTCCCACTCTGTTTCAATCATAAAGAGTGGGGAGATTATTTTTTGGTTAAACTAGCTTTTAAGCTAGCTTTTTCATATCTAACAGTTTGGTAAATCACTAATAAGTTGGCTTATAAGTCCTATTTTAAAAAAGTAGGGATTTCTAAACTTTAGAAAAAATACTTTATATGCTCATATAAATAAACTAGGTTAAATCAAGTAAATGGCTATTCTTTCCATACAACTTTTATAAGAATTTTTTTATTATAAAAGTCAAAAGCCATCAAGAGCTAGCATGACTTATAAGCTCCTTAAAAATAATCCCTTCCAAACAACATCATAGAGTTTTTCACAATCATTTACTAAAAGGTTTTTACTCCTAAAAACTACTTGCAAAATAAGGTAATTATATGGAAACCATCTTTCAATTTTAATTTATACAAAAACTATCTTGAAAGTATGTTTTCATTACAATCAACCACCTCTTGGTCAAAGTTTCACTAAAAAAAACTTTAAGAAATCAAATTCAAGTTAAAAAAAATTCAAATTCAAGATACGTGGGTTGTATCCTAACGAGACTAAACACTAAAAAAATGAGTCATGTGCCTTGATTATGAGTTTTTTAAAGCAATTTTTGTTTTATAATGAAAAGCTTGATTAGGAGGTGGTTAATTGCAACAAGAACTCAATTTAATATAAATAGAAAATAAAAGGTAGTATCCATATAATTACACTATTTTAAAGAGTCTTCTTGGGGGAAACCATTTACTTAAACAGGTGGATATATTTTGATGCAAATCATGTGTATCATATTATGTTATAGGAATGACTTCCATTATAAAAGAATAATTAGATTGATATGTTTAAGTTGGAAATCATGTGTATCATATTATTGTAGGCTGTCTAAAAATTACTACAGATAGTTGATCCCTATCAAACACTGAAGATGGAAGTTACAATCTGACGGGTTCCAGAAGACTACAATTTTAAAAACTTTCACTTAGATCAATGAAAGCTCTAATTCAACAGTATTAACAATCAACATTGGGAGTTACAATCTGACGACTCTCTTATTTTCAAGGAGCTAAGATGAATGTTACAAGATGACGATCTTTGCAACACTCTAGCAAAAGAAACTACAAATTAACAGTCTCTTCAAATCAAAACGTAGATATCTCTCAAACCGTAAGGAATTTGGCAAAACGGACGGGAGCAACCTAAACCTTTTGGGTGGGTTTGGTCGGATCTGTCTCGTCGAGATAGTCGATTTTCATATATTCGTCCAATTCTGACTTACGGTTTGAAAGTTATGACTTGTTCTTCGCAGTAAGTTATGTTCTGAAGTCTATCTGCAAGATTGGACTTCGCCTGAACATTGGACTTAGCCTGAAGCTCGCTAAGCTCGCCTGAGGCTCACCTTTGTATTCCAGAGTTAAAATGCAGAGTTCATCTCTGTGTCCCAACAACAAAACATAGAGTTCATGGCTGGGTTCCAGACTCAAAACGCAAAGTTCGTAGCTGCGTTCCAGACTCAAAATGCAGAGTTCGTGGTTGTGTTCCAGACTCAAAATGCAAAGTTTGTGACTGTATTCCAGACTCAAAATGCGGAGTTCGTGGCTACATTTTCAGGCTCAAATGCAGAGCCCAACTCTGCGTCCCAGATCCAGATTGCAGAATTCGTACTCAGAATGCAATTCTTGCATTTGACTCGTTCAAACACGAGCTGAACAGTTTCAAAACTATTTTTTATGATTTGAGGGGATCACTCCCCCACTTAGGAGTGAATTAAGGGGGGTGGTTACATCCCTTAATCCTCTATAAATGGCAAAAACTCAACTGAGTTCAGGATCTCCAATTGGGATCGGCTTTTTGCATAGAAAATATCACAAAAACAGAGATCGACAATCTCTTGAACAGATTTTTTTGGAGAGATCTTCAGTTTTGGAGGCTCTTGGAGATCATCTTCATTGGTAACAGA